TAGCTGAAAACCCCTGTTTTCTGTTTTATGGAATTCAACTTTCTTTTTTACACTGCAGACATAATTTGATGTACAGTAGCTTCCCACCTGAATTTAAGCTCCAATGGTGTTTTACTGTTGCCATTCAAGCATTTGCACATAACTGTGATATACAAATCAACTGGTTTTAAGTCCAAAGCCCATGTTAATATTGTTTTCCATCGTGTGAGACCCAAAGTTGCCACATTTATTCAACTCTTATGTTATTGCACGGTGATAGCCTTTTTATTACAAATTTTAAATATTGAACTTCATGCTCTTGTCCACTTTCGCTCTGTAGGTCAGTAAACACCAGTAAATAATACAATTAACAATCACACCCTCCTCATTCTTCTTAACCCAAGCAAGCACATCAAGGTCCTAGAGGTTCAACAACATGAACGTCTGGGATACTGTATGTTGTAAACTGTATGCTTTTTTTTAACAGAAACTCTCAGGCGGACTGTGCAGCCCCTTCTTCCCTCTTGCATATGCATTCATGGTGCTCCTGCACTTACAAGTCAAACATCTAATTGTAACATTAACATTGCTTAGCCAGGATGTTACAATGGAATATTTTATTGCTAGTTATATTTTGTGTTTATAACGACTCTACCTCCTGCTACTATATCTGTCTAGAGTCCAGTGTACATTTTAATAGCAAAACGGTATACAATTACCTAAAGAATCAGCTCTAAACTATAAAGGAAACTGAGTTCTCCTCATGTGACATTTTCTCTGTTTTGAAATGAGGGCCAAAAAATAAGATCATTAAACTCTCTTTGTCTTTGTAATTACACCTGCTCTGTGAAACTAGCAATTGCAAATGATGTTCAGATAATGGAAAGTTGATCGATGTAATTGATAAATCTGATTTTCACCACTTTTACAGTTATAAACCTCATCTTAACATCACGATAAATAAATTAAATCTCCATCTTTTCATCTTTCAACTGCATACTGACTAAATATTTGATCATATGCTTGTCCATGCAAGATAAAAGTGGAATTTTTGAACCATCTCCCAAATAAATGGCACACAAAACCCTTCAGATAAGTTTGGTCATAAACTTCCAATTCTTTTAAGTGTTAATGTGCAGCATGTAGACATGTATTGGAATGTGGATTACCATTTTTTCATGCACTTAAAATGTACTTGTTTGACATTTTGGGAT